TAAAACCTAGCCCTTTCCGGTTAATCTTCCCTTTGCCAAAAGGCTTCAGGAACGCATGCCTCAAGCCACTTATACTCCTTCCACTTGTAAGGTCGTTCTCAAATCAGCCCACTCTGCCCAGAATACCTTTTTTTTTTCTTTGATGGTTCCTCATTATCCTTTACTTCTTAGCATGGCTTGGATTTTACCTCTATAGAGAGACCATCTCAGGACTCCCAAAGCTAAATGTGTGTTCCTCTCCAATGTGTACCATCATTCTCTGTCTTTTTTCTGTTTTTCATGTTATTTAACACATGGCACATATCATAATTTGCAGTCTTGTCAGTATATTATCTTTGAGCTCTATGACTTGAACTTCTATTCTATTAAGTCCCTTTACTATTAGACTTCCTGGATAGGGCACATTAATGTCTCACATGGATGACCTTGATATGGGAAGATTTCATCAAATATATCAGTCTGTACTGGGAAAGATTAGATAGATGGATAGATAGATAGATAGATAGATAGATAGATAGATAGATAGATAGTTATGATAGATTGACAAATAGATAATTCAACACCAGTTATTAAATCCCTGCTATGGTTCAGACACTGTGCTGAGAAATAAATCTGCAGAAAAGGCCAAAACAGAAGTACCTACCTGTACTCACATTTCAGAAAGAAGCATTTCATGAAGAAACAAGCATATCCAGATGGCAGTGTGTGTTGTTAACTTGACACAAACCAGAGTCTCCTCCCATGAGATTTGCCTACCTAAACTTGGCATATCTGTGGAACAATTTCTTAGTTGCTAATGATGAAGGACAGCTCAGCTCACTGTGGGCATTGCCATCCCTGAGTGGGTGGGTCTGGGCTATATAAGAAGGGTGGTTGAAAAAGCCAGTAGGAGCAAGCCAATAAGTAAGTGTTCCCCATTGTCTTTGCTTCAGTTCCTGCCTCAGCTACCCTCAGTGATAGACTGGGACTATAAGTCACATAAGTCCTTTCTTCCCCAGGCACTTTTGATCATGATATTTATCACAGCAACATAGAAGCTGACTAGCTTAAGTCAACTAGGGAGTGAATAGTGATTTCCTAAATTTAAGATAGGGCTAGATAACGAAGAGGGACTTGCCTCCCTATTCAAGGTAGGCCTCTCAAAAATATTGGCTTTGAAATTGAGGTCTGAGTGAAACGAATGCTCCGAAAAACCTCAGAGAGAAGGACAGTGAGATAGAGGAGACAACCAATAATAAGACTCTGGGTTAAAATTAGCCTTCTACATAGAATTCCACGGAACAGTGATGATGACCAGAAAGAAAGAGAATAAAGAAAAGGGGGGAAAAGCCTATTGTACTCCTGCAGGAGGAAGGTGAGAGATATCAGTGGTTCAAACAAGATGGGTGGCAGCAGAGCCAGGATGCCAGCCAACAGGTCTCACTAGGAAGGAAAAGGATTTAGGATTTACACAAATGAGGACCACTTGGCATACAGTACAAACATAGTGATTATGCTATTTGAGCAAATATATGAACAACAACAAAAAAAAAACTGTGAAGAAAGGGCAAAGGCAGGTCAGACAGGGAGGCACCCACACAAGGCCTAAAAAGGTAAGCTGCTGTTCATCCGGGAGGGAAGCATCAGCGGGCTTAGCCTCACCGAATGAGAGAACAGGAATGCAGAGGAAACAGAAGGGATATAACAGCCACCAGAACAGGATCACTGAGCATGTGATCCATCTCAGGGAAACTGTCTGGAACTCGACCACATGCCAGACAAGACAGAATGGAGAGCATGCTCCTCACTCTCTGTCAAAACCCAGCCCAAGGACAAATGGCATGAGTGTCAAAGAAGGAATGAAAGAAAAAACAACAAAACGTATCCAGGTCCATACATTTTAAGCCACAGTCATAATAGGTAGAAAGATGCCAAGTGCAGCCCTTACAGAAGGTTTAGGATCACACTGGAGTCTTACATTGCCTCTCCCAAATACAGTCTTCTCTTAATTTTTTTTTTTTTTATTCATGGTGTCTTGCTGTCTTTTTTTGGGGGGGAAGCATTTGATCTAAAGGACATACTAGAAGAAAACAGCCTTGTGCCTCCTCTGGGACAACCCAGAGAGGATCTGAAGCAAGCCCAAGGACAAAGGAGTCCCCAGTGCAGGCCAGTATGCTTACTGAAATCTTCCCAAACCAAAGTCAGCCATGTGAGGCAAAAGCAGGCACCACCTAGGATGTCTAAAACTGTACTTACTAGAATGTAAACTAAAGTCATGGAGATCAAGAAGGTGAAAGGGGCAGGGACAAAGAGGAAGTAGAGAGAAAAAGACATATATCTAGAAGGAAAGGGAATGCAGGGAGAGGGAGGGGCTGACAGAGCAAATCAGCCAGACATCAGATAGGGAAAAGGGCGTGTGTGCGTGCTGCTGTTTGTCAAAGGGAAAGAAGGTAGAGATGTTTTTGTTCTTTGTAGGTTAATATGTAAATGACATTCTGATTTATTAGCGGTCTCCAGCAGATGAGGTGATGATTAGCACATTTCCATATTTATAGAAAAGCAACACTAACTTTTTGGATTTATAGAAAATCAGCCCTTCACAAAAAGCAAATTGTGCTATTATCGACATATGGTTTTCTATAAACAGAGCTGAGGTAATTATCCCGGGACAATTTGTTGGTGGGCTGCTTTTGAATATTAACCACTTTGGAAGCTCATTTCTGCCCTACATTATTTTAAAGAGGAGGGGGCACCAGAGACCCCAGGCAACTCATTAGTAACCCAACAGTAAAGATAGGAGACCAAACCACAAGAGAAACACCACAGGTCCAAGGCCCTGAGGTCATATCCCTGCAGCCTTGGGCAAAGTAATTCACCTCCTGGATGAGCCTCAATGTTCGTGCAACTGTCATTTGCACAACACCATTCTCTAAGTGTTGTTACAAAATTAAATGAGAATATAAACAGTTATGCTGGAATGTAATAAGTGCTCAATAACGTTGATTATTTCTCCTTCCTCCCTTGCTTTTTTGAGTGACCTGAAGAACTCACTTGAATACATTTTGAAGCCCTTTTTACAATGATCTTATGTTGCTTATTTTGTATCTTAATATGACAGTGCTCACATACACGTCTTTACTTCACTGAAACAGGTTTCCCAAAGCAATGACGTGCCTTTTGTTCTTAAAGTCTACTATTTTGTTTTATGTTCTACACTTGGGTATTGATGTTATTCAAAAATGTACTTGTAATCCATGCATTGATTTTGAGGCCTGTTACTACATTGTAACCCATAGCTTACAAAATAATGGGCAGTGAACATAATTATATCCTGGGCACAAGCATGGTAAATGTTCAGAAGAGTTCTTTGCATTATTAGAGAGAGAGAGAGAGAGAGAGAACTTGCATAGATGAACAAATTTCAAAACGAGCTAGCCAAGAATCTGAGTCAATACTTTCCTGTCTCTCTTTGAACAGTCATTTTGTCTTGGGCCTGTATGACTCTTAAATAGGCAGAAAAGCATGAGACATGGTTCTTGCTTTCAATGATGTTGCTCTCTAGTTGGGAAAGAAATACCAGTAGCTGAGAAGTTATTTCAACACTAAAGCATTTGTCATTTATATGAGTGGGCTGATGAAGGGGAACGGACAGCCTGGCATCCTAAAGCTGGGCCTTAGAGCTTGGTTTTGCAATAGGGATAGATCTTACAACCTGTGATCACCCATAGGTGAGGTCAGTGGCTCGCTAAAGGAAGTACCAGAATCACGTGGGGGAGCATGTGAAAACAGACTTGCGAGTGTACACTTCAGTAGAGTCTCCTTCAGTTAGGATTGAGGTGAAGGCTTGAGAACCCACCTCCCTAATGAGTTATTGGTATGAGGTATGAGTACACTCCAGAGTTTCCTTCAGGGTTGGACAGCTTGAGATCCACCATTCTGATGGGTTATTGGTGGTGTGATGTAGCTGGTTTTGAGCTCACACTGTAAGCCACTGTCATATGGGTTGAATGAGGTCATGAAGACTGTTGATGTCAGGCCAAGGGGTTTAGGGTTTATTCTTCCATTTTCAGGATGTTAAATAAGGAATGAAAGTCATTTATCTATGAAGTATTTAGCTGTTGGCTGGCAACTGCTGAGAGCAGAGCTTGGAAGGGTCAGCTTTCCCTTAGAGACCATCTAGAAGTTGGTGTCATAAGTAAAAAGAAAAAAATGAAACTTTAGCCTATCTCAGAAGAATAGTGATGGAGTGAGAGGGTGGAAGAGAGGGACTAAGAAGGAGAATTTGGGATGAATTTAGGTTTTCACTCACTAACTGCAATGAAGTTACTTTACCAAAAACTCTATAGTCAAAATGGGTTTTTACATTTTAAATAACAAGACTTTCCAAATTCTTTATTTATAAAGAGGTATCTGTGAGGTTATAGGAAGAGCATAGTTTAAGGGACCAAGCCAGTCTAAGTTCAAAGTCTTCCTCTGGTATTTCTTAGCAATTCATTCTAATGACTCTTGCTTCCCTGGAAATGATAACACACTACCTCAGAGTTAGAATCAGTGTAGACACTGGAAAGTATGCTGTGGTGGTTAGTTTTAACTGCTAACTTGACACAGTCTAGGAGTACCGGCGAGGTTTTAATAAGAACTTGTCTAGATAAAGTCAGCGTGTGGGTGTGTCTTTGAAGAATTGCCTTGACTATTTGAATCGAGGAGGGAAGACCTGCCTACTGTGAGTGGACTACTCCCCGGGCAGGAACTGGGAGTGCATCTCAGTGCCTATAAGCACAAGCGTGCATGCACCCTCTTCTCTCTGCCTTTTGACTATGGTTGCAACTTGACCGGTTGTCTCAAGGTCCAGCCACTGTTGTTCTCCACAATAGGCTGGAACCTGGAATGTCAGATAAATCCTTTCTCACTAAGTTGCTTTCAGCTGGGCATTTTTGTATCCCAGCAACAACACATGAAACGAAGCTACGTGTCCCTCTGTGTGTGCTGCCCGCTGTGCGTGTAGCCCTGGAGCCACTTACCATGAGCTTTCATTTTCTCTTTGTCCAGCACCAGAACATACTCATAAATGCCACCCATGGTTCCAGAGGTGATGTAGTGGGTGCCGTAGTCATTGATGAACTTGGCATACATGCCATAGTTGAACTCCTCTGGGAGCTCCATTAGTGACTGCTGCATTCCTTCGTCCAGAACGATATTGTGCCTCCTCATCTTAAAACGGGCGGTCTGTACCGTTGTAGACACTCTCATGAAGCTGAATCTCTTTCAACCGCATCCAAATGCGACAAAAGAACAATGAAAGCATGTGAGGTGAATGCAAAAAGTCAGCATTTAGCCGCTGAAGAAAACACAAATTCATTAACACAGGTAATGACATCGTTAGAGTGGATGAGCACATATTAGATATCAATGTTCAAAAGACTTCATGTGTTCCTCTCTGTTCTTTGCCCCACCCAGGTCATGTTCACAGTAACTCCCATATGGGTAGGTACTGAGTGTCCAATGTAGACAGATGAGCCTACAAACCTTCTTATACATTGGGGGAAAAAATAAGTCTTTTTTTTTTTTTTTTTGAGAAACCTTATAAGTCAAATTGAGAGGGTCTGGCTGGTTTTCTTTAATCCAACCACTCTATGTGTTTTCCTATATGTTCTAGGTAACCATGCAAAGTCTAGGGGAGGGGCAAAATGATAGGCATTCTAGTCTTAGAGTGCAGCTCTATTCCATTTGTGATGATGAGTCTGTGTGCAAAGCCATAATAAAAAACAAACACGATCACCACTGATCAGACATTTCCAATTACACAAGCAAATTAAGGTTCAATTACTACTGTACTTTTTAATGCAATTAAGGTAATACGTGCTCAGTATAGATTATGGAACACTGTGAGACACAGACTTTATGTTTTAATACCTTCTCATTATACTTGCTTAACTCCTTCAAGAATGAAGATTCATTGGACCAGGCTACATTCCCCTCCAGTGTTATAGGAATTTTTGCTATACCTATGCCAAAGGTGATGCCATCTGACTTTGACTTGTCATTTTTTATTTTAGAAAACAGGTCATTTGCATCATCATAAAACTCTGAGGAGATTAAGGTATCTGCCAGGGCCTGAAAAGAAAAAAAAACTAGACATTAGCTTTGTGCCTGCTTCTCATATGTGCCATCAGAATCTTTGCATTGGAAGATATCTGATTCCTTTCAAAAGCTGATCCACGCCTCAGAATGATGCTCCCCAAAAAAGAGAAAACCCAGCAGCATTACTTGATGTCAAGTGGGACTCCTAAGCTGTTTGCTCCCACACTCCTGCTTGTTCCTGCATGTAGACAGTTATGTTAAAACATTAATTATGTCCAAAGCATTGGGAGGGTAAGGGGTTATGAAAGAAGGCTGCTTGTTTGTACTACAGAGAAATGCTGAAAGCCATGACTGGGCATTGACCTGGATAAAAAAAAGGGGGATCAAGAAGGCCAAGTGGAAAACAACAATCCTAGTTAAGTGGGGTTCAGTGCTACCCACAAACGTTCAGCTATTTCTCTCCCTGTGCTCAACATGGTTGCATTTCCATTTGGCTTAAGCCAAGCCAGTGGCTTAAGTCAAATCCTCTATTTGGGCCATAGAAGTACGTCTTCAGAGGTTGTGACCCTGAGAGCCTGTGCTGAAGTAGACTTCATCGGAGTGAGTCCCCGAGGGTATGTGGTGCTCAGACAGATGGACACCATACATCAGCCATAAAGACTTCAGAATCCTGTACAGCTGGACAGTCCCATCTCGCCTGGCACACAGACCCCAGATCTTCCTTGAAATTATCAGTGTCTTTCAGCTTAGCTCTTCAGAGGCCTGATAATTCAATAGAGGTTGCCACAAAAACCAGAAAAGCCAGCCTCTTAAAAATGGGCCCCATGTGGTTGCCAATACCTCCCGTCGGTACTTTTAGGTTATCTTGGGAAGGGGGAGGGTGTATCTAAATAATTGCTCATTTCATCCACCTTTGTAGATTCGTGCAGTGCTAATGTACACAAGCCCATGTGTGTGATGTGTATGTCCACTCTCTTAACTGATGCCTAACCTGGTCTTTAGTTCGGGCAGATCCGGTGAACATCTTGCTTCTGTCTGCTGTTACGGTTCAGCTTTGGGACTGACACTATATTCCTGTGTGTTTTCTTCCTAATATCTGAAAGGGACGCTGACATGTGTATCTCATGTTGCTGCTATGAAGACTGAGTGGGAGAACTTACCCGAAGGATCTGGCCACACACACCGCACACTTTCAGAGAGATTGCAGTGTAAACACAGGTTGAAGGTAAGAACATGACTGGCCTTCAGCTGGCTGAGTCTTACCATAAGCCACGCAATGCTCTGAGTGACCGGAAAACCACGGGGGGTTCAGAAATGGAGAGTGGGACCATCAGCAGTTTGCAAGCACTTTTTTTTTTTTTTTTTTTTTTTTTGAGACAGAGTTTCTCTGTGGAACCCTGGTGACCTGGAACTAGCTCTGTAGACCAAGCTGGCCTTGAACCCAGAAATGGCCTGCCTCCCAAGTGCTGAGTGAAAGGTGTGTGTCACCCCCACCCGGCTGCAAGAACACCTCCTAAAAAGCAAAATCATATTAAGAAAAAAAATAATAAAATGAGAGATAGAAGCCACTCTTGCTGAAGCACGCGGAGGGGATGTGTCAGAACCACACCCACCTGTGTCCTGCTCCCACCTTGCAGATTGGGAGAGGGCCCAGGGAGAAATGGCAGGCTAGTTGTTCACACCCCTTTGTGCTTAAGAGTTTAGCCGAGCCACATCTTGGGATGGGGCTAGAGGCGAAGGCCCAGATCTGTTTCACTGGTTTGGGAATGGAGCCGAGACTGAGCAGGTGGGTTGCTGTGTTCATGCCGCCGCAGCCCTCTCCTACACTCACATCTCGTTGCCCTCAACACTGAGCTTGTGTGTGCATCAGGGGTGAAGGAGGCTTCAGTCGGCAAGCCCTATGAAAACTCAAAGCCTTCAGAGCAAGCCATCTCCCCGGACAGGCTGCTCACTCCATCCCGCCCTTTACCGTTTCCACCAGACCTACTTCAAAGTGGTACTTAAGGAAGTTGTAGGGTTTCCGGAAGTATTTCTCATCGTCTCCATAGTAGAAGCGCTCACAGGTGGGGTCGTACCGGAGCCTCCTCCAGTCCCCATTGTACACAGTCTCACACTGGCCCCCATAATACTTGGCATCGTACACACTCTGGGCTTCTTCTTGAGTCAGGATATTGTACCTAAATTGTAAAAACTGTATCTTGGGAACAACAATCTTTAGAAAGGCAAAGAAAATGCAACACATCATCCTCTAGAAGAGTGGTTCTCAACTTCCCTAATGACCCTGTAATACAGATACTCATGTTGTGGTGGCCCCAGCCATAAAATTATCTCTTTGCTACTCTATAACTGTAATTTTGCTGCTGTTATAAATTGTCATTAAAATACCTGATATGACACAAACTCTGGGTCTGAGAACCACTAGTACAGACCACATAGTAGGTGGAGAGGTGGTTTCACCAAGTATGTTTGGTGGAGCCCCCGGGTTCCTTCAAGCACCTTGAGAGCATAGAGGGAAAGCAGGCAATACTGTGAAAGTGGGTAGACCGGGCCTGGGATCCCACGTAGCCTTTAGCCAGAACATGTGGCCCAATGTCCTTTGGAGGCAGCCCTGATTAGCTGTTACGTTAGGGGGAATGTGCATGGATTATTAAAAATCCAAGCACAGAAGCCTGTTAAATTAGTGCCCGAGATCACTGTGTGAGCACAGGCAAATCATCTCGTGTCTCTGTCTCACTTTAGTCATTTGTTAAAAGCAGTTAGTAATAGTACCATCCCCCCCTAGAGTCAGACATATGTTAATACATGTAAAAGTATCAGAGACGGGCTTGGCATATATCATACTGAACAGATCCTGTCATGGTTTGAATGCAAATGGCCCCATAGGGTCATATGTTTGAATGCTAGGTTCCCAGTTTGTCGGGGAAGTATTAGGAGGTGTGGCCTTGTTGGAGGAGGCATATCACTGGGGATGGGATTTTGGGTTTCAGAAGCCCACACCATTCCTAGCTGGCTTGCTCTTCCTCCTGCTTGTGGATCAGAGGTAAGCTTTCAGCTACCACTCCAGCACTCCAGCACTCCAGCGCTCCAGCACCATGCCCTGCCTGCCTGCTGCCATGCTCTCTGCCATGAGTGCTCATGACTCTACCCCTCTGGAAGCACGAGACCCAAATGAAACACTTGGTTGCCTTGGTAGTGGTGTTTTAATCACAGAAATAGAAAAAGTAACTATGATGAATACCCTTTACTGCTACTGTTAGTATTATTGCAGAAAAAATGTCTGCTACTAAAAAGTAAATTTGGATAACCATGTATAAGGCTCTGCTCCTCAGAAAAATCCATTTTCCTTGAGGCAGCCTGGGATGACAAATATGCACAATGTGACTATCAGGAAGACGCCCAGGTAATTTCCAGCTCTGCCACTTCCTGTAAATGTGACTTTGTCACCATAACCACATAGCCATTAGAAATGATTCAGAGTTCTAAGACTGGACATAAAATCCTCCTATGAAATAAATAATAAGAGTGTTGCTTCTTTTTGCCTCCCAAACTCTTATGTAGCCTTTGAAACTCAATGCAAAATTTGTCTCCTCCTTCTCCTTTGAATGTTCTAGACAGCCAACACTTCAACCAGCCCCTGGGTTCCTGGCAGACAGTACTTACCTTTGGCATGGCACTCCCATAGCTGTTTACGCACTCTGTGAGAGGCACAAAGGCAGAAAAGGAATAAAAGATAAACTGTGGCTATAACCTACCTCAGAGAATAAGTGGGTAATTGCAAAGCACCTGACATACCTTATAAATTCAATGTATGCGAATGTCCATTTCCATTTCCTTCCTCCACCTCTTTCTTAATACAAATAGGAGTGATGTTATAATGGCTATGATAAATTAAATACATACCGAACTAGACACTTAACACACAGTAACTTTAGACTTCATGACAACTTGGCAAATGCAGAAATTAAAGTTCAAAAAAATGGAAAGAAAGAATTTGCCTATGGTCACAATGGATTTCCATGCAGCCTCAAGTCCGTGAAAAGCAAGTAGAGAACATACTCTGCCAGAGAGCAGAGGATATGTAGAGCATTAATCATGAGCAATCTCTGCCCTCCACTTAGAGGACAAGGCCAAAGGCAAAGACAGAGTACCAGAAAAGTAGCAACACCGGCCTATTGCTATGAGCGAGCCCTTGGCCTGGGACATGGTGAAGCTGATATGACTAAAAGTTCTGTACCTCAACAGACGGACAAATTTTGAATAGTTGTCTCCAGTTGTGATGGTTACTATAGTGGTCTGAATGAAAATGGCCCCCATAGACTCATAGGGAGCAGCAATGTTGGAGTAGGTGTGGCCTTGTTGGAGGAAGTGTGTCACTGGAGGGTGGTCTTTGAGGTTTTAGAAGCTTAAACCGGGCCTAGTGCTCATTGTCTCTTCCTGTTGCCTATGGATCCAGACATAGAACTCTCCACTCATTTCCTGTATTATATCTGCCTACACTCTGCCGTGCTTTCTGCCATGATTATAACAGACCAAACCTCTGAATTGTAAGCCAGCCCCAATTAAATGTTTTCCTTTATAGGAGTTGCCGTGGTCATGATGTCTCTTCACAGCAATAAAACCCTAATAATACAGTTGTATATTGGGATAGCAACAGAAGATGCTTTGTGAACTGTAGGAGGGTTGGTTTCCAGTAAGAGGTTTTATCTTCCTTTTCTTTTTCTTTTTCTTTTTCTTTTTCTCTTTCTTTCTTTCTTTCTTTCTTTCTTTCTTTCTTTCTTTCTTTCTTTCTTTTTATCATGAAGACAGATGCCCTTTTCATGTCCTCATACAGGTTCTTGTCTGTACAGTCATGGAAATAGAGTGCAGTATCTTCTCCTCCTTTTCTATGGATCCCAGCCCTTTTGGATTAAGGCTTCATCCTCATGAGCTCATTCAACCTGAATTACTCCCTCAAATCCCTGTTTGCAATTGCAATCACTTTAGGTGCTAGGATTCTGATAGAATTGGAAGGGACCACAGTTCAGTCCATAACACTAGACATGAGTCAACCAGCTCAGGGTTTGGATACAGATGCTCCAGAAAGAAGAAATAAAATTAATTAATGCTCAGAAGGATCAAGTGTGAGGCATTGGGAATTGAACCTAGACATAAGGTGAAGAGAAATTAGAACCGAGGCTGATTTTAGCTCAATAGAAAGTCTGAGAAGTGAATCAAACAATGACAATGTGGAGGTTCAAGGTTCTGCCTCACACCAAAGCCCATTTTCTTTTCACTCTATCACATTGTTAGCTTGTCCAGAGTGTTGCATGAACAAAGCAGTTGGAAATGTCAGCTGGGGAAAGCTGCCCTTATGGACATCTAGGAAGGCTTCCTAGGAGATAATAGCCTTAGAAATGAAGAAAACTGGGCTGAGGGGAGAGGGACAGTAGAGAGGGAGAAGGACACTTGGGTAGGAAAGCTGGGTGATGTCACATTCCTAGGACCATGCAACCCTAGGAGACAGGAGCTCCCTACAGAGAGAACGGGTCTTTTCTGCATCAAAACTGATGTCCATAATGAGCAAGGAATCATCTGCTACTTTTGAACAGCTACAAGGTGACCGCTTACCCCAAGGCTGCCCTTTCTGATCCTGGGATTGGTTCATATTGATGACAGTCATCCTCAATGACCCTGGAATCCTCACAGTTGTCCTCATCAGAGCCATCGAGGCAGTCCATGTCTCCATTACATATCAAGTGGCGTTTTAGGCATCGACCTAAGGGAGACCAGGCTGAGGGTGCTTCCTAGACCATATTCCCCAACATCTGGAGTCATGGGGCCTTTCCACCTTTGCCCTCCTATCTGGCGATTCTCTCTGTTCACACTGCCTCTTCCATTCATGCTATCTCTGTAGCTCTGTGATGTATCCCTTAGCTCAAGCCTACCCATTTCACCCTCTCAAATCCAGCCTCCACATCAGATCCACCAGCCATCTTTGAAAATGCCAGTCTGCTCATGTCACACTCTAGCTATGTATCTGCCAAGGCTTCCCACCCTTCCAAACATCACAATCTGAACCCTGCAGCCCACCTTGTTCCAGATTATCTTGGGTTATCATCACCCAACCTGTCTCTTTCTAAAGCCCTCATGCTACAAAGCTTCTGGGAAGATTGTGTGTCCCTGAATTTTCATGTTTTTGCACATGCATTTCCAAATCTCAAATCAAATATTATTTTAAGGGCTGTCCTGACTTCCCAAAACATATTTGGGCATTCCCATGCTAGAGAATTGTACACAACCCAATGACTATCCCATAATACTGTAATTGACCTTTTAAAGATCTCTATTCCAAACACATTAGGACTACCTCAAGGTCAGGTACCTTGTTTTTAATTTGCATAAATTGCATAGGGTTCTATTATTTGCATAGAACCCTGCCTGGAACTTAATGTGTACCTAGTAAGTGTTTGTTTAATAAGTGTCATCTATTAACAATGAGTGGCACTTTTCCTAAATTAACCAAAGTTAATCTACTGATGAATCCATATTACATGGGCTGTCTGAGCAGTGAAGACTGTTTGCCTGGGACTTGAATTCAGTTCTGAGCACCCATATCAGGTGGTAGCTCCTATCAGATGGGCTATAGCTCCAATCTCAGAGAATCTGATGCTCTCATCTGCTCTGTCTGGGCACCTACAACTCACACGTGCACACTCCACCCTCTTACACATACATATAATTAAAAAAAATAAAACAAGTATTTTTTTTAATTACATGGGTTGCTAGCTTGACTTAACATGCATTTTCCTGGTCCCTGTCACAAACCTTCAGCAGTTACAAATCTGCACTTTAACCAACTCCCAAGTACTTGCTTTGCACGCTGTGTTTTGTACACTGTGCTTGAGAAGCGCAGCTGTTGTTGTATTGGCGTGCTACTCACCTGTCTCTCTACACTGGAAATCCTGTCCACACTGTTCTTGCCTCAGACAAGGTGTAGGGCTGTCACAGCTGGCCTCATCCCAGATGTCACCACTGCAGATGGCTCCCCCAAACTTGCTCGGCTGCAAAAGGCTCCGGTGTCGGTACTAAAATCAGATTGTGAACCAGACATAGTCTGTCAATCAATCAACCAAGATCCATGTAGGCAGGTCTCAGCTCAACATAAGGAATAACTTTCATGATTGAAAGCTGCCTTCAGGGCTGTCTTCCAAGGGGACACATGAGCATGCCCCCGTGGTGTTCAGACAGGGGTGGTGTAGTCATCAGCTGGAGTTCTGAATACAGATGTGAAGTATCGGATGAAAGGCTGGGATGAGAACATTCAGAAGGTTTTCTTACCTGTTAGGAAAGAGCTCCCTTCCCATATTCAACCAGTTACACATGTTTAACCTTTAATGTTCATGGCTTCCTTCCTCTAGAAAGCCTTGATCGTATACTCTTTAAAGCTTCCTTTATTTTCTTACCACTTGTCAAATAAGATGATGACAAAGCACCTATTTATCTACCTGGCCTACCATCTCTGTGAGAAGTTCACAGCTTGATATGGAGAATTGGAGAGAAATGAAAGAAAAACAACCTCAGGTGGCTTCCTGTGTTCCGATTTGATCTCTGCTCAGGTATGCTTTTAGAGGCCATTGCTGCTTTGCCTTTGCAGGTTTTTTTTTTCTTTTCTGACCATGCCATCTTCTCTTTACTTGGTATACATCTCTTATTCTCCAGAGAGGTATGGTCTCCTTCTTCCCTCCAGTTACAGAAGAAGACAGATGCAAGGCAGGTACTCGTGGCCAGAGCATCATATCTGCCTGTTTGTAATGACTGCTTCAGGAACCCAACCTGAGCCAATAATAGTTATCTCTGGTGACTCTGTTTTGGGGGAAATGATGTTTCTGGAAATTATAGGCATCAAGTAACTACATACCTACTATGTAGAGAAAGGGGAGATTAAAGAGGGGACATCACTTCAATCCCTGAATCCAGGCTTGACGACAGATAAGTAAATACTTCTCGCTATAAAGACAGGAAGAAAAAAAATACATGCCAGTCTTGGAGGTCTAGAGTTTCATGATCAAGGCTTTCTGGAAAATGGACAAGGGTCAGATAGACACTGGAGTAGAAGTGGGAGGTCAAAAACTAGAACACTGGGAGAAATGTGAGCTTTTGTTGCTGCCTTCTAGAAGTTTGGAGTCCAGTTGTGATACAATATGTAATAATACAAAACACAGTGCCTGGAAAACCTCCATGGAGTGATTGGCAATGACATACTTAGCCCTGTATCTTCTGTTTTTGACCTTGGCTCAGCCAAAAGTCCTTCCTCTGAGAATGTCAGTAAGTCAGCAAGCAGCGACATGAGCATCTATGAGTTGCTCCTTGAATCTATGAGTTTGAGCAGATTTAAATCAAAGCTCTGCCTTTCTTAGCGTGCAACCTCCTGAGAGCGGACAATGGCGCCCACCTGCCACTTGTCTGTGAAAGCCAGACCAGACAATATGCTTATGTGAAGCATTACTGCAGTACCTGGACATGGAAAGCACTTGATAAATGGTGACTATTACTGCCGTCACCATGCTTCCTGTAGTGTCTGCACTTGGAACAATAGTGCAGCCTCTCAGGTTCATTTCCCTCAGCCCCCTGTTTGTTAGGTTGCTATCAAATAATGGAGACAGCGCGTTGTAGGAAAGTGTCAACACTCCCTGAGGGACTCCTCTGTGCTGTCGCTTGTGGATTGTGTCATTAAAGCACAATTTCCTTTTCTATGTGGCAGCTAATGTTTATTTTCAGAAATGTACATCTTTGTTCGGGTGACTTTGGGAGGAAGAGACGTATTAATGAATGAAACAAAAGTGGCCCTTTAGTTAAATAATTAACAAGATCTAATTTCTTAAGGACTACTTCATAGACACATATATCTTTCCAAGTATTTAAGGTAGTGATTCAATTTTGACGCAAACTGTAAAAGGGCCCCTGTGCAATCTGGTACCTAAACAAAAATATGAGAAAAAAAGGTAGGTTTAGGATATTTAATAGGTTAAATAATAGCTATCAAAGGGTATAACTCTTAACTTTGTAAAAAGATTTTAATTTTCCCTTATTTGCCAAACATTTTGATAAAAATATTAAAGGTTTTGAGATGTGATTACTTTGGTTTCTCTGAGTATCCCAAAATGTTATCATACTTTCTTAAAGAAGGAGGTACAGGGAGATTTCAAGCAGACCCATGGGGTAGGCGATACAAAAGAAAAGAGAGCAATATGTCTAGAGAGACAGGGGAGAGATGTAGCCATCGGCCAAGAACTGTTGGAGGCCACCAGCAGTGGAAGAGGCAACACCTTATTTCTTGGAGTCTCCAAAAGGAGGCTGAGATGGCTCACCTCTACTGCTTTTCTCTGGCCTCCAGGACCCCAAGAAGACAAATATCTGGTTGTAAAGCCACTGTGTTTGTAGAAATATATTATTGTTGGCTCAGGATGAGGCATCTTGGCTCTTTATTGCTAAAGCCATCTAGCTGTCCTTCCAGATGACCCTCAATAGAGGGCAAATGTGGACCAGGACCCAGAGAATCCGTGGAGCTTCAATGTGTCTGTGTCCTGGTAACTATTTTCCCGTGGCACAATATGACCCTTTCACTAGCCTTGCCTCATGACATTTTATAAACAAAATCAAGAGAGGCAGACACAAGCCTCACTGTCTAGGTACCTGCGGTTTCCAAATGCCTATGTTCAGATCCAGTTTCTCTCTAGAGTCCTAGATTTATAATTCCTGCTGATTATTTTCCATTGGTGCCTAACACACATATCAGGTGGTTGATAGCCCGAGGTATTCCTAAGTGGCTTACCTTTTTGTTCTGACATGGAAAACAATCTGTCCATTCTGACCAGTTGCTCAACTGGCAGTCAACTGCTTCTGGGGTCACAGCTCCAGTGACACGCCTGAAAAGAGAAAAGACCCTGCATCAATTTTAAGATTCAAAACTAAAGCAAAAGAGAAACCTGTGCACACTTTCCTGCTGGTTAAAATGAGCTTTGTAAGAAATGAATAAAGAATATTTATTATACTCCCATTAAAGGCTGAGATGGTACTGGAGGATCTAGATAGACTAACAAGGAAGGCAGTTTGCAAGGATAGATTAGCCTGGCATGGCTGGAGAGGGACACACTCCTTTCCCAGCAAAGTAGTTGGTCTCTCTGTCCTAGAAATCCCCCCTCTTGTGGTTAGTTTGTGTTCAAGCACATCCTGCGACTAGAAATGAGCCAAACTGGTTATAGTTGCAGGCACAGGCAGGCAAACCGTGTTCTCAGAATAAATTTTTAGAGGATTATGCATGACTGGGTATGCATGATTAAAACTGTGGGGTGCAAGAGCCATGCCTGCATAGAATACCCAAATTTCTACCTGTCAATCAACAGTTATGAGAGCAGAAACCACCAAACCCTGCCTCTAGCAGACTGCCTTCTCGGACTTATAAAAGAAGCCATGAGAAGTAACATGGAGCTCTTGAGCCATCATGCCAAGCCTGCTGCTCCCACACAGGGTACCCTGCACTGTGCATATGCATAAAATCTCTTGCTACATTGCTCGTTGTGTGCACTGCAATTCTTTGAACAAGATGCCAAAAGCCTGAGGTACAGCCAGTCTGCAGAGCAAGCACCATCAATACGATTCTTTTACATCTTTATCAATGTCAGACAGCTCAAATGACTATCATTTTAAGGGTTGGAGTCCTCAGAGTGACTGAATTTTTTTTTTCATGAATGAAAGTAGCAGAAACTTCAGAGGGTGGACACAGTTGAGGCCAGTTTCTGGCTTCAAAAACTTGAGTAAGTTACTTAACATCCTAAGTTGTTTTCTCATTGACAAAACTACATTTAAAATAGCACTATCCCTTCCCCCTGTTAGTTACGGAAAATACATAAAACTACTGATAAAATGTTTACTGAGAGTTGTCAGTAAGTGCTGTATGCAGGGACATTACCTAGACATTTAGTCTTTGTAATCATTTCAAGAGTTAACTATCAAAAAAAAAAAAAAGAGTTAACTATCACGTTTCATTTTATGTCAGTAGAGATGGCTATACCTTAATCTTTAACTTCTCAGTCTCCCAAACTATAGAAACAATAACATTTGGAATTTAAGCTACCAGGCCTCACTGAGGATGTGATCTGGTGGTAGAGCATTTGCCTATCAAGTCCAATCTCTTGCACTTAGAAAGTCACCAGCCACAGGAGTCTATGATAGGCCCCTGGATCCAAATAAGTAGTTACTTTGATTCACAACTCAAGCAACTGCTCTTCCTCCCACTCAACCATCATGCTGGCACACTGCAAGTTCTTTGAGCTTTTTCCCATTTTCCCACAAATCTGTTCGTACCTACTCTGAGCCCCACTGCCCTTGCCACTGCCCAGCCACAGTGTGTAGTTTGATGATTCCCATGGTGTTTATTTTTAAACCTCATTGAGACTTCCATTATCTCAATAGCAAAGCTTCCTCTCTTTCAGTAAGATGCCTCTTATCTTCATTTTTCTTTATATCCAGATTTTGTCCCATGGAGGTCACTCTGGACTCTTACCTAGGTATGTTTCCCCCATCATACCTACCCAGAGAACCCAGTTCCTGCCCACCTGTTCAACCCATAGCTATCTTGAAGTATCAGCACAGTTCTTAGTTCTGAAGGAAATTTCCTAACAACCACACAACGCTGATGATTTTTTTTAACAAAGCATCTCAAGGTTTAATTATTGCATGTTTGCTTGCAATTTTGGTAAACTTCCTGTCTCCACCAGACTCTATACCCTTGGCATTTAGGTTCAGTCTCCACTGAATCCCACCATCTGTCATGGGTAGACCCACGGTAATCAGAAAACATGGGAAAATGGAAAAAGAGAGAAAAAAGGATGGAGGGGGGACAGATGGATGGAGGAAGAAGAGACAAGAGGGAAAGAAAAAATAAAGCCAAATTCAGGGAAATAGATAGTGACATTTTAAAGAGATTTGTTTGAACTCAATTCCTAGTTAGAACTAAATTAAATAATCTTGACATCTAGAAATGCTGAGAGCTCAAAGTTTGAGCCACGAGATTTTTTTTTTTCTGATATACTATTCTTAAATTTAAAGGAAAAAAATGCTTTAGAAAGACATGGAGAGAATTTACAAGGCGAAGATTTGGAGGTTGACAAGGGCTTGCATTAGCCCTGCACCTCACTCTAGAATTGTCAGGGTAATGTTGCTCTAAGTCTACAGTCTGATCTGTGATGTCACAATAGATGGAAACAGTAAAGCCAGGCAGAGCTGAAAGCAGAAGCCCAGAGAGCAGGGACACGCTGCTGCTGCATCCAAAGCTCATGACATGATGTCTAGACAGAGGCACACAGTAATGCTATTACAGAGGCCAGACACTGAAGGAACCAGGACCGCCATTAAATCACCTCCAGCCAACATGACCAATATTCTCTCATCATTTCAATGAATTTTTAAGTGTAGCTCATTTTTGATGATTATACAAGTAATGCATTCACATTAAAGAAACTATAACAATGATTATAAAAATATTATTTCAAATCTTACCACCATTAATATTTTATTATATTTCTTTCCATTCTGTTTTCATAATATAGTTGAGAGTGTACTGAATATCATGTTGTATATCTTGATTTTTCCACTTAATACAGAAAAGATATAAACTATTTATGATGACTGTGTATTGCTTCACTATCCTATAATAACAGATATTTGAGCCTCAAGTTTTTCTGAATTCTAGGTTATTTCCTGGCGGCACATCCTGTAGAATGGAGTGGATGATTTTAAGGCTGGTGACACACATTGCTGAACAGCTTTCCCAGAGAGTTGCGTCCATTTTAAAATGATGTAATGTCTGTGGTTTGGTGTGGTTCATGCCTCAAAGTTTTCCTATGGTGGAGCCTGAGTCTCCATCAATGCACTGTTGAGATGGTGGAATCTGAGTGAGGTAGGATCTACCGGAAAGTATCACATCACGGAACACCATCCTCACGAGGGGATTATTGTTGGCCTCTCAGTGGTTGTTTCTTTGAAAGTGTTACACAAAGAGCAGCCTAGCCATTCATTCTCCACCCTCTTGCTCTCCACTTCACCATGTGTTCTCTTCTACAATATGGTTCTAACCATGGTGCCATATGCCATGTTGTGGCTGAGCCAGAGACCATCACCAGGGCCAAGGAGTGCCAACAGTAACTCTCAAACCTCCAGCACTGCAAGCTAAATAAACTTCTTCACGGAGTGACCAGCCACATGCATTTGTCTACAGCAGAGCAAAGTGAATCAGTGACAGGTAGGGGAGGTACCAAGAATTCTGCAGCCTACAAAACCTTGGGAAATAATATTACAGTATCTCCCAACTTACAAGAACCTACGCAATCAGTAAGAAACTGGAATAACTGAACAGCTTCAATGCCAGGAGCAGGTGAATCCATCCTGGATTTGCTTCTAACTCACTTGCTATTCTTAGCAAGTTACTATGAATGACTTCATTGTCTTCCTCTATTGAAACAGCACAAGTCATGTAATGTTGCGGCACATTTCTTCAAAGTTTATTCTTTGCTGAACCAGATTTAAGCTATGTAGCCAGGCAGAAGGCAGGGAAAAGAAAAGTCTCCTGGTCAAACTCATTTGAATAAACTGCCCACAATGTGCCATCCATGCACATTTAAAATACTTAATAGTGTTAGAGACTCTGAATCTGACTTTGCCCATCCCATTACTTCCCCCAATTGTTTTGAACGTACACCATTTTTTTTTTTCATACAACATCTGTAAGACTGTTGGACACAACTGAAGAAACATCGAGAGAGCGGAACTGCAGAGTCAGTCAAGTATGCATCTGAACCCAGGTTCTGCCAGATACAACTGAGAACATAAATAATGGCTTGGTAAACCCTTCTGAATATGGAGAGAGATCATGTGTGAAGCCCTGAGCAGCAGTCTAGGACACGTGCCAGTGTTTGCTCAACTCAGCCATATACAAAACTCTCCATCTTCATCAGAAAACTGTCCTGTACAGGGCTGTGGACCACTGAGGTACTTTGTGAGGGGGGGCGGGAAGTAGGGTTGTGCATACGCACACACCCAGGCCAGAGTCTGTATTAGATGTCTTCCTGAATTGCTCTGCACCTCACATATTAATTCAAGGTCTCTTGCTGGCCTTGGAGCTCACTGATTGGCTAGACTAGCTGCCCAGCAAGCCCCAGAGATGCACCTGTTTCTACCTTCTGGGCACTGGGATTACAGCCACATTCTGCCGTGCTATTTTTTTTTCCCACCTGGGTTCTGGGGATCCAAACTCCGATCCTCCTGTAGTGCGGCATGTGCTTCTCTGACAGAACAATCTCCCCAGCCCCCACCTACCCTTTAAGTCAGATTGACATGCTAAACAAACGGTTTAAAATTCAGTTGAATATGAAATCTGAGAGTCAAACGCTTGACTCCAGAATGTGGCCACCTCAGCAACTTAGAAAACAGCTACTTAGTGATTCTAGGCTAGGAGGTCAGAAAGCCTATCTGATTAGTATAAGGGGGCCATCCTAATACACAGGCTCAGCGTAAAGTCAAAGCCAGTTGTCACTAATGATATAATCTTGAGCTAATCCCATTTAATTACATAGGAATTATATCATGAGATGAAGGTATTTTAACCTTGGCTTTGAAAGTGTTCCATCTTCAGCACCCTCCTTGTCACTAAGCCCAGTGGAGAGTTTTCCGACTTCATCTGACTCACTCTGTTTTAGCCACAACTTCCTCTAGAAGCTTCCTTCTCCTGACCTCAATACAACCTCTACTTGCTCTTTTACTCAATCACCAGGGCTTTCGGCTTCTCCCAGAACTAGAATTCTTCAGTACACAACCTTGTCTTGCTTTTCCTCAAGGAACTGAGATTCGTTCCACCAGCATCATATACTAT